ATTGTATTGTCGCTGTATATTTTGACAGCTGACATCAAGGCTTATTTGTAAAAAATTTTGTTTGATTCTGTGCAATTGTTTCTTTTTTTTGGTGTCCCATCAAATATGGAAAATCGAAAGCAGAATTTTCAGCATATTTTGATTTTTTATTATCTGCTGTTTAAACAAGAAAAAAATTGAGAGACATATATGGAAAAGATGTGTTGACAGAACAACAGTGCCAAAACTAGTTCACAAAATTTTGTTCTGGCAATTTTGATATTGAAGATGCACGATATTCTGGAAATCCAGTTGAAGCCGATGAAGACAAAAAGGTATTGATTGAAGCAAACTGCCAAATAACAACACAAGAAATTGCTAAGAGATTAAATTTGTTGAGTTCAACCACTTATAATCACTTGAAATGACTTGGTTTCATTTCAAAGCTTGATATATGGGTTCCACATATTCTTAAGGAAAAAGATTTACTCAGTCACATTGACATCTGTAATTTGCTTCTCAAACATAAAGAAAATGATCCATTTTTGAAGCAAATCACTAACTGGCAACAAAAAATGGAATGTTTATAACAATGTCAAATGCAAGTGATACTTGGAATAGAAGAGATGAGCAGGCTCAAAGCACTTCAAAAACCGATATTCATCAAAAAAAAAGTGATGCTCTCTGGTGGGATTTTAAGGAAATTGTTTTTTTTTTTCAAGCTTCTACCAGACAATTCCACAATTGATTTGGAAGTGTACTGCCATCAACTGGACAAATTGAGTGATACCATCAAACAGAAAAAGCCAGAACTGATCAACAGAAAAAGTGTAGTGTTTTCACCACGATAATGCCAGACTTCACACAAGTTTGATAACTTGTTAGAAGCTGTTACAGCTTGGATGGGATGTGCTACCACACTCACCATATTCGCCAGATCTGGCACCCTTGAATTATTACTTGTTCTGGTCTTTACAAAATTTTTTAAATGGTAAAACATTTACTTCAAATGAGGATATCAAAAATCACTTGGATCAGTTTTTTGTAAGCAAAGATCAAAACTTTTATGAGCATGGAATCATGCTACTACCAGAAAGATGGCAAAAGGTATTAGACCAAAATGGTCAATATATAATTCAATAAAATATTTATATATTTCAAGAAAATTGTTTTTTTTCATGAAAAGAAAAGTAATATAATATAAAATAAATGAAAAAAAATAAAGGAAGACATGGTTTCAAATTTATTAAAAAAAAAACAAAATTACTTTCTAAAAAACCCAATACATCCCCGATATATAAACACTAAAAATACATATTAATGATAACTGATCTACTACACTCATTTGGAACTCTCTACTGTTATGTCCTGCTACATTTTCTGTCATGCAACTGTAACAACCAGAATTGATATTTGACTTTCTCCAATGATAATTTGTCAGAGATGACTGGCTTTGAATGCCAAAATTATGTATTTGGCAATAAAATTTTGGGTTGCCTGCAGGCACACTTACAGCCCAAAACATCAACCCTTTTTACCAGGCTTAGAATTTATAAAGATATTTTAAGACACACACACACACATCATATATAGTAAATACATCTGCTAAGTCATATATATATAGACTTAGCAGTTACAATATTATCTGAGATGTAAATAGACAAAGTTATCAGATTCCTATGACTGGATTAAAGGACCCTTAAAAATGATTAGTATCACCACTTTCCACTTTCACTCCACCATGTCCCGTCCCATCCCAAAAAAGTAAAATTAAATATATTTTAGTTAATAATTAAATATCCTGTTTACATTTTTTAAATTTAGATTTGAAAATTATAGTTTCATATTGACCATAAATATTTTCAAATTTTAATTGAATTTAGAATATTTAATTGTAATTCATAGCTTTCTACAGATAAGGATGAGGATCAATATATGAGAACAGGCATATGCCTATGTGGAAATGCACCACTGTCATTATGAAACATAGCATTAAACAAATAAAAATAAAGGACTAATTGCATCTTTTCTTGTTTCATTTCAAGACAGTTTAGTTAAAATAAAGGACATCCAGCAACTCTAAAGGGACAACAGACTGTGACAGATGTTAACATATAATTATAAACTAGATGTCATCATTGCATGTTATCTGGAAATTTTTGTAATTTGTCTAATCAATACAATAAATACTGTATTTCAAAGTATTCTGCCAAAAACAAATTTAGCTATTTTCAGGTTCGATGCAGATCAATATCAGATCTCATTATGATATTTTATAAAAATCTATGAAATATATTTAAATGTATAAAGTTTCTCGTAAAAATACTCATATTTAAGAAAATTTCAATTTAAACTAGTTACTATAAAATTCATAATTTATAACAAAATAATTACAATATAAAAAAATAAAATACAAATAAAAATACATAATAGATAGAATACATAAATAGATAAAAATACAAATAAAAGATATTAGTATTTTTAGCTATAAACTGAAATATTTCTCTAATTATACTAAAAAAATAAAAATATAATATATATAAAATGGTTTTCAAAGTGATATCATCTTAATAATGTATATAGATTCATTAATATAGCGATTAGTTTTTAAAAAATCTCAATCAATTTTATAAATGAAAAAACTGCCTCAAATTACTAAATTAACTACTGTCTTTTTATACTTCATGCACATAATTACCAGTAGTTATCTATTGCTAAAAACTATATTTTTAACAAGCTTTTATTCTTTTTAATCAAACTGATTTTTACTTATTACAATTGTAAATTATAATTATTTATAATTTAACTTATCAACTTTTTAATAAATTAACTTTAAGTTTCAAAAAATCAAATATTTTTAATAAACATGATTACAGTAAAGCAATGCTCTCTCTTTTCTCTAAAAACAAATCAGAAAATACAAAATTTATACAATTACAATCTAAATACACTTTTTAATTAAGACCATTTTTTGGAGTGAAAATTTCCAAAACTGTTTGAAAACTTGACACGTTTGCTGCCATATGCTTAATTCTGCATCATATGAAGAACACATGGCACAAAATAATGTTAACTGACAGCAAACATGTTAAGCATCTTCAGATTTTACATTCATTCTCAAATAGAGAAATTCTCTATTTAAATATTTATCTATACCTATACATAATTTACTACGGTGCACTTTTGCTAATTCAAATCAATTTTGTACATTTTTCTTCTAAATGTTTCAGCCCAAACAAAAAGTTATTGTATATATTCTTTTTAAATTTAATAAATTTATATATTAAAATCAATATCTACTACTCATTTTTTAACATAAATATATGTACCAAATACAGTATAAAAACTTTTTAAGTATATGTTTATTTGTAATCTTTCCTTTTCTTTATATATAATCCAACTACAAACATTTTGCAAATCCAAAAAAACTCACACTAATTAGCGAGCATGCCGTATTATAAGTTAAACTGTTAATAAATTCCAAGCATAAATTTTATATATAATAACTCAAAATAATTCATATTTAAGCTTTTTTATTTAAAATAAGTGTAGAAAAGATATAAAAATATATCGGTATGATTTGATTCTTGGAATTATTTTGTAATATTAAAGTTCTCATATGTTAACAGGAATAATTAAACTGGAGCCAAATGTTACTCTTTTAAGATATGTCAAAAAAAGTCCTAATCGTTGCTTGTTAGTATGCTTTAAAAATTAGTTGATAACTTCTGTAAATTTCTCAACAATTTGGAAATATAGAAGACTTCGCTTATTGTAGGCCTAATTACCAAACACACCTAAACTGATGACGATAATTAACCAAATAGAGTAAGTAAATAAGATAACAATTAGAGGAAATGCTCGAGTTATTGGTTTTAACAATAAAAAAAAACGTATTATAAAACTGTATAACTTTAAAGATTTATTAACTATAATAATTATTATTCTTATTAAATAATTAATACAGTACCAGACCAAATATACCGCAAGATCGAGACCAGAAGCAATCCGGATTTCTGGGCTAAATGTATACTTAAAATATAAAATAAACAATGGAAAGCAAAGAACGAAATTGTTTTTACCACAATATGCTAGCAGTCATATCGAAACCGGTGTTACGAGATGCATAGACCTAAACCTTGGAAACCAAAACAAAGTGGCTGCACAACAAACTACAGTTGTATTACAGCCCAACAAATTCCAAACTAATAAGTTTCAAAATAAGCCAGTTTTCTGGTAATTCTGGATTTTTAGAAGCTAGGTATTTGTTCCAGTATCATATAGAATTTATCCACCGTCCGCCGCTATCAATTTTAGCAACGACTAACCTAATCCCGGCAGCTTAAAGTATTGCTTTACAAATTACAATTAAAACCATTTACACTGCTCAAAACTGATGATAATTTTTTCTTATCAGCCATACGAAAACTGGCAACACAAAAAAAGAGTATAAAAATATCCATTTACCAGAGAATAATGATAACAACAACTGAATTCTGATTATAATAAGCAGAGTAGCTTTAGAAATTGCTAATTTTGATAACAATAAGTGGAATCTACTGTATTTCTCATCTCAAGTCATTTTCAACATAATTGAAAATATATCAAAATGTCAGAACATTTCAGATAATTAGATCAAATATTTTTGATTATTAAAATTCTTTAATGAAAACTTTTACTAATAAATAAGAAGATATAAATTGCAAACAACAGTGACAAAGGTAGTGACCTATCATGGAATTATAATGTGGGAAAATTCTATTTAAAAACAGATTAAAATATAACTTTTAAGTAAACAATAGAAGTAAATAAAATTCCATAAACAAAGCAACAATGCATAGGCTTTAACATTGTGCATAAAGATACATCACCTTATAATTACTCGTTTGAATTTACTGTCCAATTTCCTGAATTCAATAATGTATATAAAAAAATTATTTAAAAGATAAAAACGTCACGTAATTGTCTCTATCTAAACATTTATTTAAATTCAAACACGAAATAAACGATATTTTACTTACACATTACTTATATTCGTCGTTTCAAACTTAAAAAACATCCAATTGAAGCACAGACACACGAACATACCATGTTTATTTAAACTTGGCATTTTAACTTTTCGCCTTTTAACGGATGAACGAAATACGGAAAAAATTTATATTAAATAAAATTACATAATTATAATTAATTGTTTAAATTTTTATAATACTGGAATTTTTAAGAGTGTTTTTTTATTATTAATTAAAATAAATTTTATAAATTTTTACAATATAAATTCGTTTAGTCCGTAGCGGTAGTTGCCGATAGATCATAAAATGGTGACTTTTTCGCGGGAAATAAAATGTTTTGATGAATTGGCGTAAGAATTCGATAAGATCGTTTCATTGGTTATTATATAATATATAGAACGTCCTTAACTTATAAGAGTACAGATTACGTAATTAAAAGTAAGGTTATGAATTACGTTACTGACAGATTTCATTTTAATGTCGTAATTTTTAACGTGGTATTATTATTATTAGTTGTCATTTTTTTTCATTCTGTATTTAAATCAATGTGAAAATTTGATTTATTAATACTGTAATTTTGTGTGTGTGATGTGTAATAACTAATAATGTTCATTTGCTGATTATATTTTACATTTCTTTATGTTCCTAATAAACATATTGTATTCAAACAGGTAAAATGAGGGGTTTGACTTGCCAAATTTATTCCCTTTCTTTCTCCTATGGGCATGGTCTACAGCTCTAATAAGATCTCAATTGCCTCATTCAGAACTACATTTGTATTCAATTTTTATCACCCTCCATGCCGGGCACATACAACTAGTAGTATGTAAAATTCTCATCCCGTGGTTAATTACAGGAAAATGTGGAAGCTGCTGCTGAAATATATTAATGAATTGTCATTTTTACTTATATATTTATGAGTCCAACTATCCGATAACAAATGAGATTCTCACAAATGATACATTTATCATAAAAATCAATTTTAAGAAGGAGATTTGGAAAAGTGTTTTCTAACATTACAAAGGCCTATTGAAAAATGTATACGTTCGATATGTTGAATGTCAAAATATTTTTTTTTAATTTTATGATCGTGTTTATATAACTAAGTCTTAATTTACAATATTGTGTCTCCTGACAATAAGTTTTTACCGGGTGCTAAGGAAGTATATCGTCTCGTGCTTTATCTGCAAATTTAGATTTGAAATTTCAAAGAAATTATAGATTACGAATATTATGAACCCTCAAAACCTGCTATCATAACAATTGATAAAAATTACTTTATTATTACTTTACTAAAATTATTATTTTGAATTATTCATATATAATTTACAGAAATGTCAAAAAATGAGTACAAGTTATTTTTTAAATTTTTAATAGATGATTGTTACAATCTTTTCAAAATGATATTCTCTAATTCCAGTTTTCTGTTGAAAAATATGCACTTTTTACAGTTGCATTTAGATCAACAGTATACTACACGTTAGATTAATAGTAACTACAGTACAGTCTCTGTAATCTAACATATATGAGACAGTGTTAGATTAAGGAGATTGCTGGATTATTGGAAGGTGACTTCAATGGCATATAAATGAATTTGATAGTTTGAAATCAACTATTAATGATGTAGAAAAACACAAGTTGGACTACTGATCAAAACAACCAAGCATGTTGATATTAATGTTAATCTGTACCACGAAGTTGGTGAATTCTCACTATCCGTACGTTTCTATATTTAACAGTTGACTCACTGGTGAGAAAATGACGTTTCTAAATGGACCATTGAGTTCTCCGTTGAGACTAGTGATGTCGGCACTGTTTCAATGTTGAGCTCAACGATCTGAAAGACCATTGAGTATTCAACAAACTAGCATGGCAGCTTCTGTGAAAAAGCAAATTTTGCTTGTAGAAACTATCCATTTGCTCTTGCTGTGGATACTATAATAGCAGACAGATTAATGAACGATCTGTATATGATAAAACATGTGATTGCACAATTATGTTGGATAATTTGGTCAATATTGAAATATTAAGCTTTTTTTCAGAAACAAACTACCTCCATGAATTTGTCCAAAATTGAGTACGACCAAAAGACCCAGTATAGAAGAAAATGATAAAGATAAGGGTTCATTTGAATAAAAGGATTTATTTAAATAATAGTTAAGTGAGTTACTTTAATTATTTAGCAAAACAGTCACAATCGTTGCCTTCTCCTTAATTAAGTCAGCCATCATGAAAAGTACCCTTTCAATGGAAACGTTTCTTTTTTCTACAAAATGTGATGTCAGATCATTCTCAACAGAAAATTCACTTTGAGTCAACTGTTGAATATAAAAACATAATGTAAGTTTAATGGAAAATTAAAGCAACCATGAGAAATTTAGTGGAACGTACAATAGTTTTGGTGGAAACTTTCAGGGGGACTGATTTTTATATTTATACAGTATTGTGTTATAAGATGCTATCCTATTTTTGAACAGCCTAAGATAACAAGCCTAACAATATTTAATATTGTGCCCAAAATCAGGCTTGATATCATGCCATATTTCTGGGAATTGGAGTTTGAACTAGTGAGAAGCTTGTCTAGAACTTGGCAACGGTGTTGACAATTATCATAATACTTCAATTTCAATTTTCAAAAATCCTTTTTACACTAGCCATAGAGATAGACAATGTTAGGAAAATGCAGATTGCAATGAATAGGTTTGATAAAGATGAGTGGTATTATTACAACTTGTTCACAGTCTAATTTTTATATTGTTCCATCCAGTTCACATGCAGGGCAAAATATTAGCAGTACCTCCTGTTTAATAGACATGTGTAAAATAGTTTCAAAGACATATTAATTCACCTACACACCAAAAAACCCAGCAAAAAATGTACATATTTTAAGCAAAACAAAAGTTTTTTTTCCATTTTAAACAATCATCTTCAGGTTAGAAGAAACAAAAATAGAATTTTTAGAATTGCATTCTGTGGAATACAATTCTATTTTTGTTTCTTTAACCTGAGATGATCATTTAAAATGGAAGAAAACTTTTAATTTGCTTAAAACATATTTTTTGCAGGTTTTTTGGTGTCTAGATGTACTTATTACTGTAATACTAGTATTATGGTAGAAACCTATTAATCCAGTTAACTGCTAATTAACTGGTTATTTAATTTTTCTAGTTTATTGAATGCTCTAGACTGGTTTTCAGCTGTAGCATCATAAAATGGAGTATGGTGTGAAAAGTAAAATTGGCACCCCAAAAGTAAAATTTTTGATCAAAACAGGACTACGTGAAATACAATGTCTGGTATGAAAAATCAAATAGACAAATCTAAAACAAAAGATGCTAAAAACAACACCTCTTTGAATATAGTTTTTGGGGGCACTGCTTGTATCAGCAATCCTTTGACTCTCTAATCCTCTTTAATATTATTACTTTTTTCATGATGTTGGCATCCCAAAGCCATTGCACCCCTAAGCTAGCGCCTCTCATGCTTAAGCCTAGAGCTCTGCCAAGTATTATAAATCTTTCATAGACATTTTTTCCATATATTTGTGTAAGACATAGATATTTGTGTAAATTTTTAAATATATTTTTATTTAAAAATTTTCTAGTTACATTTATAAATATTTATAATTTCTACCTTTAGTAATTTAGGCTAAGATTAGTATATTTGAAATTATAAACTGTTCTTGCTCTTCCAACATACTATAAATTTGTTTATTGTAATAGATTGCATACTTATACATAGCAAATAATAAATTTTATTTTTATCAGAAACAAATACAATGGCTAATGCAGAAAATATTTCCACATTTTATGCCAAAGGCAAAGATTACTGGGAAATGGTACCAGCAACAATTGATGGTATGCTTGGAGGATTTTCAGAAATTTCAAATATCGACATTCAGGCATCTGCTCGATTCTTGAATACTTTTCTTCAGGTTAATGTAGTTTTATTTATATGAATAATTTTTTTTCCTTAATTAAAAAAATTTTTATTTTGATATTACATATTATACATATATTGTAGGATAAAAAGAATCCTCTTGGTCATTCTCGAGCAATAGATTGTGGTGCAGGAATTGGCAGAATCACTAAACATTTTCTACTGAAGATCTTTGATATTGTTGACATGGTTGAACAGAGCCAGAGATTTCTTGATCATGCTAGAGAATACATTGGATCAGAAGCAAATAGAGTGGATAAATTAATATGTTGTGGTAAGCTGTTTATATTATTTTTTAATCTGTGTTTATATTGAAAAAGTTTCTAAATTTTAGTTAAATGTTTGGTTAAATGTAAGCATAAATTTTGGGTTATTTTTTGTAAATAGTAACATACCTATCCAGCATACAGAAGTTGTGGGTTTAAATCCACTCTGGATCAATCCTTCCTTTCTAAACTGTCACTAAACTTTAGAAGCTATCTATAAATTAATGTAATTTCCAGAGATTTGGAGAATTTTCACTTTGCTCTCAGATTTCAGTTATTGTTTTAATTACAACTACAATATCCATTACTAACTTCAATAGTTAGTAATACACTCTGATAACCAGTGACACACAGTTGGTTCTCTTAAAATATTTTTGCATAGCTACACATACAGCTAAGGAAAATTATTCTTGACTACACTCATGTTAAAAGAGAATAAGAATCTCTTTGAATAGCCTTCACATTCCAAAGTTAATTCATATTTTAGTATTCTTAATGAGCAAAAGTTATAGAATCAGCTTCTGGATTAAAGGATTGATGGAGTAAGGAAATGCAACACATGGGTGATCTGCCAAGGAAGTGTTTCCCAAGAGAATCTTCTATGAGAAACTGGTCCTTATTTTGGTGTTAGACACATCAAGAACCTGGAAAACTCCATACGGTCAGCCAATCAGTGAGGTGCAAACCCACAACCAACTACTAGACTTCAGTGATCTCATCCACCCAGTAATTGGTACACTTGATCCCTGAATTAGAGAATTGCATAAAATTGATCTGGTAGCTGTATTTAGCAATGTTAGCTACATTTCAGAATTCATGGTTTAGATGTGCAAGTTTACACTTGAAATTTTCTGTCTGAAGTGATACAATTTATGCTTTTATTTAAACAATTTTCATTTCTTTTTACATATTTTTTGTACACATTCACATAAACCAGATAAACTTAATCATCTGACAATATAAATTTCTTCTCCATATAGCAAGTTTAACTTCATATTCATTAAGATTGTTAAATCTCTACCTGCATTACTATAACCAATTAATAAACTCCAAATACCTTTAAAATGCAGTCTATTTTAAACCACTTATCAAACGTTTTCGGTTAAATTAACAGACCTTCTTCAGGATCGAAAATGTAAACAAAATAAAATTTTATTGAGGTTTTTTTAAACATTAAAAATGTTTATTTTACTTCTATCCTTAATGAAAACTTAAAAGCTTTATAATTTATCAAACGTTTTCGGTTAAATTAACAGACCTTCTTCAGGATCGAACTAACAGAATTTAAATTTGCCAAACGGAAATTCCAAAACTTATGTTTTACAGTCTTCTCAGATTCAATTGCGCAAGTCCATTTGTTCTTTATAATTGTAATGCCGCCGCTTTCCATGCTGATGCTATTTTGTTTGATTCTTGAAAATTTATATTTTGCCCTTTTTCCCTGTATTTATAAATGTGCCAGGCTTCTGCATACTTTAGATGTCGTCTATTACCAATTTTTTGTATAACATCTGCCTTGCTCCATTCAAATTCAATCTCTGTTGGATCCACGATCGCATAATTAGCCAAAGCTGTGACTGGTTGTTTAAATCTTATATTCTTTTTGTGCTCTTTCAATCTTTCAATTAACGATCTCTTTGTGGCTCTTATATAATATAGCTCCCTTTTCATCCTCTTATGCAACGGTATTCTGTACACACCTGGAACTAGCCTTCTATCTACTGGTGTTTTGACATTTCTTAACATTTGGAATATTGTCGTGTTTCTCTTATTACGCTATTTTCTTGTTGCTCTCTATTCCTATTTTTCTGTAAATGTTACTTAACGGTGCCCTGTATTCCATTATGGTGAACTCCTTTTTCTCTTTCTTATCTTTATTTCTTATTGCCTCCTTTTTCTGCTTCTTGTATTAAGGCTTTTACTTTGCTTAATTCCTACATCTCTTGCTAGCTTTGCGATGTATTCAAGCTCTTTACGTGTGTCATGAACTTTGCTACACTCATTGTAGCAAGGTTTGGCAAATTTAAATTCTGTTAGTTCGATCCTGAAGAAGGTCTGTTAATTTGACTGAAAACGTTTGATAAGTGGTTTAAAATAGACTGCATTTTAAAGGCATTTGGAGTTTATTAATTCATTAAGATTGTAAGATCCAGAAATTTTACAATACTTTTATTCAGTTATCAAAAGTTCTTTACCATGTATTATATTAACAAATTACAGTAAAATCTCTATTCATAAAAAGTATTATTGGTGCTGAAAGTTTTTTAATCAAAACAGAATATTACAATTTAATTTAATATTTTAATTATGACATAAAATAAATGCTGAGTAATAGTATTAAAATTTGTGTGTTGTTCAGAAAATTTCTGAATTACTTTTTCTGTATCAGACATAATACTGTTTTATTGGTGCAGAATCTACATATTTAATTACAGTGCAATAATTTGACATATATGCTGTTGCATGCTGTGGCTGGACTATCAAAAACAATGAATGAGTAGAAAATAATCACTGAGAACACACACTCTACGTAACTGAAACAAAATTAATAAACTTCCAACTGGGAAAAATACATGTAATTTATAGTATATGATAAAGTAATGAAGTTTTTTGATGATAAAAGAAAGTATGGAATTCCTAAATGTTGAGTAATTTTCACTTTCCGTTTCAATATAAAAAATATTTATTCATTTTACAAAATTGTTTTTATAGTAAAAAAAATAGATTAATCTTTCAAATATTATATTTTTTTCTATAATCATTTGCATAATAAGAATGGATTTAATGTTTATTAGTCTACATATGCAAAGGAAAATGTTCCATGTCCATTACAAAATACAACATATTTTATAATTTTATATATACAGTATATATCAGGTGTGGCCAAACTTTTATCCCTTAGGGGCTACTTTTTTGGTAAAATATAGTCTGCGGGCGACTATGAATATGAGCAAACAATTTTAGGATTTTTATGTGCGCATGCGTTCATTCATTCATTTGCATTGTTCATCGGGATAAATACAAACAGTATGGGTACGTTGCACAGACAATCTATTATTGTAAGAATAAATTATCGAATTAAGATTTTTAAACATTAATTTAAGTGAAAGCAAATTGTTCAACTTTAGATTCGCAGACTACTTTCAAAACCTTTGCGGTCGACTGCGGTCTACGTATTGGCCATCCCTGGTATATATGTTATATTTAAACTGTTATTATTTATTTTCTGTTTGAAATTTCCAATATTTTTTCAAGATATTCTAAATGATTAGTGTTTTGACTCTTAATGAATTAAAATATTTCGTCCAAGTAAATTTCTTGTCAGTGAGAAAGTTGACAGTTAAGCTGATTGTAACCTGTTTTGGTTATAATCAACCCTTAAATTATAAAATATTTTTTGACTTACATACTCAGATAAATCTATAAACTAAAATCTTAAATTTATTTCAGTTTTAAAAGTATGAAATTAAATGAAAGAGAAAATTAGTGCATACTTACTTACAGCAGATATTGAAAATAAGTTATTTCATATTAATTTAGTTGTCTCGTTAATTTTTATTTTAGGTCTTCAAGATTTTGTTCCGGAACCAAACACTTATGACGTCGTATGGTGTCAGTGGGTCACGGGACACCTTACCAACGACCATTTCATCACTTTCCTAAAGCGATGCAAAGCCAGTTTAAGAAAAAATGGCGTTATCGTAATAAAGGATAATTTATCATCCACCGACGAAGTAGAAATGGACAATCAAGACAGCAGCGTCACTCGTCCACGAAGTCTGCTTCTAAAACTCTTCAAAGATGCCGGATTGGAACTTTTAGCCGAAAGAAAACAATACAAATTTCCCAAAGGATTGTACGAAGTCAAAATGTTTGCACTCAGATGATCTGTGATGAGAATTCTAGTCTGATTTGTATGGTATCTTTTAATAACATTTTTTACAAAACACTAGATGTTCCTAAATAAAAATGTCCAAAACTGCCAGATTTTTTTTCTAAGTATTTTAAAGCTCAAATCAACAAACACTTTATTCTGTAATGTAAACAAAATAAAATTTTATTGAGGTTTTTTTAAACATTAAAAATGTTTAATTATTTTACTTCTATCCTTAATGAAAACTTAAAAGCTTTATAATAGTGTTTAAAAAAACCTTTGACAGAATAAAACTTAACAAAATGTTAAACTTATTCCACTGGAGATAGTCATCACATCACAATAATTTTATATAAATTTTGAGATACATTGTGGCTTACATTAAACTAACTGCTTGATGTTCTATATATGATATTTAATGAAATATATAACAATATTTCTGATTACAAGTTACTGTCTCCTTCCTTTTTTAAACCATGTTAATTTATGCAAAAAGATTGCTGGATTACATTGGGCTATAACAATCAGTGGCACATTATAGCTTCATGGGACCCAGACAAATTTAAATTAGAGGACTTCAGACATTCTGTTCAAGGGAAATCTTCAGTATCATTGTGGATTTAAGACTGTCCATGCAAAAAAAAACAAAAACAAAAATTAAAGAACAATTTTAGATAACATTTCATTAAAAACAAAACACTTGACATATAGGACATTAAGGAATTAAGTGTAATCCACATGAAAAATTCATAAATAATACACTTAATTGAATTAGTGTATACTTATAAATTACAGTAATTTAATATAACAAAGAAAAAACAAGTTTTTATAAATTAAAAAAAAAACAATTTAAACAAAACTCTCTCTCTCTCTCCTCAACCAATGGTTGGTGGGCAAACATGTGCAGTATTATAACTTTTTGCTTAGCTGGCTGTTTTATCTGTTGGTAAGGTCTTTTCCATAATAACTCCATGAGATATTCCACTCTGGGTCTTCCACGTCCCCTTTTGCCCTCTATCTTTCCTTCCAATAAAACATTCATCCATTCCAAATGGTGACCAATCATGTCATTTCTCCTTTCTCTATTGTCAAAATCCACCTCTTCTCTGTTACCTCTTTTAAAACATCCTCATTCCTCTTTCTCTCTGTCCATGACACTCGCATCATTCTACACCAACACCACATCTCAAAGGGCTCCAGTTTTCTTTGCTCCACTGTTCAGAGTGTCCATGTCTCCAAACCTACAATGCTATGCTCCAGATGAAACTCTTAATGAATCGCTTCCTAACATCGATTGATATGTTTTTCGATGTTAACATCTGTCATTTTTTATAGAATGTCTGTTTTGCTTGGTCTATTTTCACTGTAACATCTCTTCCATTCCTTCTGTCTGAGGCAATTATGCTTCCTAGATACATGAACTCATTGATTTCTATTTTTTCACCGTCCAAATAGACATTCATTCTTTTTTTTGAACATCTCGTTATCTTCGTTTTTTTCCTATTTATTCTCATCCCACATCTTTTAAATTGTTTGTTTAAATTTTCAAGAGCTATCTGTAGATTGTCTACATCTTCCGCTATCATTGCGAGATCGTCAGCAAATTTTATTGTGCTGTACAACTTTCCATTCACTTTTATACCTTTTGTATTAGTAGCATAGAATTCTTTCATTGCCTCTTCTATGTACACATTGAACAATAGTGGTGATAATCCACAACCTTGTCTTACTCCTTTCATTATATTGGCTTCTTCTTTTCTTCCTATAACCACAGTTTGATTCTTGTATAGCTGGTATAGTATTTGCCTATCCCTGTAGTCTACCTTCAGGTTTCTCAGTGATTTGAACATTGTTCCAGTCCATGCTGTCAAAGGCCTTTTCTATGTCTATAAACACTATGAGTGCCTGCCTTTTTACCCGAATAAGCTGTTCTATGAGCATCCTTAGGCTTAGTATAGCTTCTCATATAGCCTACTTTTGTTGTGGTGTGAAACCAAATTGATCTTTTGATAGTTTTTCTTCTACTTTTCTTTCTACCCTTCGATTGAGAATTCTGTGTGGAATAATCTGTGTGTGTGAGACTAGACTTAGTGTCCTATGATCCTCACATTTCTGTGCTACTTTCTTGTTTGAAATCAGAACCATTATGCTTTTTTTGAAATCTTTTGTCACTTGGCCAGTTATATACATTTCATTGATGAGTCTATACAGGTTGTTTTTAGTGTTTTCTGCTAGTGTAATTATAAGTTCTGTGGGTATCTGGTCTATGCCAAGTGCCTTGCCATTTTTCATTCCCTCCAATGTCTTATTGAATTCACATTTTAAGATTGATGGTCCCAAATCATTTGCATAAACCAATTTCTCCTCAATCAGAGTCTCCTCCAACTTGTCCCCTTTGTAAAGTTCTTCATTCCTTCCATTGTTGTGCGATTTGTTTTTTCTGGATTAGGATATTTTCCTGTTTATCCATGATTGTACCTGTAAATTTCCTTCCATCACCAAACTGTCTCTTCATCTGCCTGTACACCTTTTCCATATTTCCTTTTCTCTCATTCTCATCTATTTCCTTACATGCTATGTTAATTCATTTTTCCTTTGCTTTTTTTTTGTTTCTCTGTTAATTAAGTTCTTGTATCTTCTGTAGTTTTCCTGGCTGCGTGCTATTTTGTAGAGCCTGCTCTGCTCTATCATTTCCAGTATTCTGCCGTAATCCATGGTTTGTAAACTATTCCGCTTTTTTTACCAATACATTTATCTGCAGCTTTCATGATTCCTGTTTTGATTTTATCCCATTTCGAATCTATGTCATTGTTACCTTATGTAAATTTGTCAACTCATGTACTACTGTTTGCCTGAATTCCTTCTGAGCATTTATGTCTTTTCTTAATTTTTGTATGTTCCGTCTTCTGTGCGGTTTTACCATTTTGTTCTTGTACATTACAGTGTGAAAACATAAATTCAAAAACAAATATACAATTATAACGAAAGTTTAAAGAAAAATTACAAGGCATGTTAGAGGGATAAAAAAACAAACCTCACTTTTCGCGATTTACGAGCTGAGACATTGTCACTCGTTCATCGTAATCGAGTCTGTTCTAAATGTCATTCTCGATGTATATAATAATGCCAAATTCAATAATTTTTCTCCAATTGAATTTCTAATATAATTTTTATTTTTGTAATTATATTAAACGATCGTTCCGCAAATGCTATGGAAACAGGAAGTGACAAATATATTTTTAAAATCATGTCCACCAGTAAGTTTTTGCATCGGAATATCAAAATTCATAAACGAAATGGCCGAAAATTGCCTATCGCGTAACGATAAATATTTTGCAGAAAATTAGTAATTTAAATTTCTATAAAATATTGCACAAAATTCAGATTATACAGGAAATTTTTATTTTTAAATATTAATATATAAATACAGTTATATACAATATCAGAATCGAGTAAATATTCATGATTTTGCAGTTCATTTGAAACGTAATAAGATCAGTTCTTCTTACTTTGCGGAGGACCTCCGAACATTGCGCGCTGGAAATTTGCTTCAACCTCCAACTTCTTTTCGAACTTAACGAAAGCCTTCTTCGTCTGGTCCCAATATATCTCGGGGTTGTCCCTCTCTATAAGTTCGGGACGATGCTTCGAGGACCCCGAAGGAAGCCCACCGACGTCTCGATCCTTTTGAATTTCCGAGGACTCTGGCGGTAGTCCTCCAACTTCTGGATCCTTTGGATATTCCGACGATTCTGCCGGAATCCCGCTGACGTCTGCATTCTGTAGAGGATCATTTCTCTCTTTCACTCTCCGCTGAATTGGAGGTCTTCGTCCGAAGATCCTACCAATCCATCTCCAAAAACTTTTCGTCTTTTGATTCATCTTTCTCCGAAATCGCGCGAAAACGCAACAACAAAACAAATCGCTTCGATATGACAATCGAAAAACAAAGAAATTGTTGTCGCGCGTCATCAATTGTTCTCTGTGGAAACTATTAATATATGTATTAGAAATTCCCTTTTCTAGAACTTATAGGATCTTATACGAGTGATTTATTATAATTTTATCACTGACAAGCCGATAAATTTCATATTATTAATTTCAAAAATATAAGATTTCGAGAAAGATCAACAAAAATTTTTAGATTTTTGTTTTATAGGACCTTTATGAGACCCGAGAATATTTCAAATTTCCGTCTCCGTCACGACATCGGGTTTGCCGAGATGTACTGTACACATTTGCAAAAAATCGTGTTTAGTGATCGGGAGGTTACTTTAAATTTCGATCACAGACAAAACTCTGATTTATTGCGAAAATGTAAAAATCTTGGAGGGTCAAAAAATGACTCAAGATTTTTACATTTTTGAATTCGGGAGACATTGGAACGTCCAGAAGTGCAAAAAAATCTGTGGTTTTTCTGTATCATACAATGTTAATCTGAGGGGAGCACGATTTTGTTCACCCTCTTTAAAACTTAATAACTTCCTGTTGTTTTTGTCGAAAATTTCTGAAATTTTGCAGGGAGGTTTGTGTATTAGGGGCATTCGTGCTATTAAATTTTGGTATTAAAAGGTCGAGGGTAGAGAGATAGAGAGGGTCGTATGTCAAATCTCGAATGGGTCAGACTTAATGAAGATTTTACTCGTTATTAGCATTTACAATTTTTTTTATAAAACTCATCCCTACGCTCAAAATTAAGCTTTTTCCCACATTATAATAATTAATAATATAAAAAAGTTTTAATAAAATATGATAACAGACTTGACACTACCACAATTTTAATTTTTTTGCCGCAATGAATTTCTGGACTTTATACTGTGCATTTTTTAAAAGAATGAACACAATTATTATGTATTCAAACTAAAATCTGCTGTTTTTAAAATTATTTAACTTTATTTTGTCGGTATTAATAAAGAGATTTACGCAACCGGCTTGTATACACTTTATGATACTCGTGCAAAAGTTTATCTAATCATTTATCGATAACTAATAATCAAATGTTATCGCTTACCTGAAATGAAATGTTTCTGACAAACTCTTGTATTGATATTCGCTTTATCCTTATTGAGATTTTTCTGGTTAATTCTCGCGAACAATGCAAATTGCCTTCGTGGTGAAAGTTTTTAAGTTTGGGTTCCTCGACGACAAATAATGCCGGGAATTTTAAAAAATGACGTTCGTTTGTTCTTGAGTAAACTATCGTTACACCCAACAATTCGCGACAAATAAACAACACGAAGAACTCCGGCTAAAACGCGCGTGAACACACACAAAACCACAAACCACACAGATGGCCATGCTCATGACATCACTGGTGATATCGACTCGAAACCTCTCTATAGTACTTAGAAGATTTCACTTTTATAGGGGATGTGAAGTCTTCTAAGCAAGAGTAATTATTATATTTATGTTACGTTTCTAACAATTTTTCCGCCTTTCACGCACGCTTGGGAAATATACAATACATTTTGCATTTCTAGTATTCAAATGCATATAAAATGAGTTGCCAAGTCAAGGGAAAAAAAACAGAAGAAATTTGGAAGTCTCTTTTTCAAGAAAAAGACTAATGGAAAATTGAAGTTTGAAAAGTCATGAGCAGTTGTACAGGTGATATTCTCTCTGATATAAGTGACACTGAGAAAAAAGTGTCTTCAGCTGGTGAGGCAAAATAAAAGTTTTGGGACCAACTTACAAACTTCAAGAACACTGCACTTATTCACTAGGGAAGACAATTATTTATCTGACAGTAAGTGCAATTCATTAGATTTTGATGAGAACTGCATAAAAAAAGGTGTCCAGAAAGCAACTATGATGTACAATGAATAACATTCCACATCCAAAAAATCAAAATGAGGTAGGATAGATATATTGTGTATCTGAGTATCTTGTGTAATCTTTCATCTTATATTTATTATCTTATGAATATGAAAGATCTTTCATGTTTTCTATTCAATATCAACTTTTTAATAAAGATAGTTACTCTGGTCAGAACAATTATAATAAACTAATAGGTGGTAAATTAATGTGTGTCAGCTTTTCCTTCTTATTATATCTGTACTTTTTCATCCCAAAGTCAATTTTTCAGAACACAAAGGTTGGAAAGCACATACACATTTGTATATCAGTGTAACAATGCACTTTTATAGGATAACTGGTCTTGACTTATTTGTTCTTGGGAATGTACACAAATAAAATTATGTAAAATCAAAATATTAAACATCATCTGATTATTTTCTTTTGACTAAACATTCAACACATTTAACAACAATAAAATATTTTCAAACAAAACTTTATTTCTAATGGCTAAGCAATGTCATTTTCACATGTGAAGAAAATTAAAAGTTGAAAAATTACAAATTGGAACATACATAATTCACATTTTATAATACATCATTATTTTCAAATGTCAAAATAAATATTTGAATCAAAATGTCTTGGTCATTTACTGGATTTTACCCAGCTTTCGATCATTTAAAATTATGCCAGTATCACACCCATATCGTAACCTATAATCCGATTGGTCCTACAGAACACGCTTCTACATTTTTCCACCTCCACTCCGGCTGTCATTTATACACACAGATAACTTTTAATAATGATTAATTTTATTAAAATCTGCATAATCCATTAATATTTCATTTAAAATGGGATTATACAAGTAAATTAATCCCAAGTTTTAAAATCCACAAGTGGACAACATACAGGTTTTTACCAAGAATAAGTATCAAACTTTTCATTTATCTAAGATTATAAAAAAGCATTAACACTGATTTAGTTACATCATATTTAGAAAGGTATTATATAGCTTAAACGGAAAGCATAATTATTTTTTTTATCAAACCATCAATAAAACTTAATTATTATCTGTAGTAAAGTTATCTTATTTAACTTTATTCGTAAAAAGTAAGTACAGGAATCTCAAAATCAATGCAGTACTGGGCATCTTGATTCAATTTTATAAATGCCATCCATAAATACATTCTTGAATACGATTTGAGTAATTCGAATGATAATGATTGAATAAATTCCATAAATTGTACATTAAATCATACAATAAAAAATTTCCATTGCAACACAATTGGCACCATTTTCTTTGTTTTGCGTGGAAGACTACTTTCTCCGAAATTATTACAATTCTCGACGTCATCACAGTGCCCAGTAATTTGGCACTTTTCTCAAATTAGTACACGGGCCATTTGCTATATAAATATAATCAGTGTTTTGTTTCTGTGTGCAACTGATTCTTTACAAAAGACTATTTCGTTAAGAAAAAAGAAATATCAAATAATAATTTTCTTATTTTCGTTAGTGAAAAACTTGTAGAAATTGTGTCGAATAAAAAGTAGAAGTTATATATATTTATATATATAAATAATTTGTTCATTTCTTTTTACAAATAAATTTATAAAATGTTAAACATTTTTTTTCTTTTTCCAGCTTAAAGTTATCACATAAAAAGGAAATATAAAATGGCAGTGCCATATACAAAATGCTGAAAGAATTTTTTAGGAATGATTTATGAAAATAAGTATGGAAATTTACAGTTTCTTTTCTTCCGTTGCGGAATACTTAAACTCTCTTTCTATCGGTCAGAACACGAACGATACTACCGACACCGCCGGTTGCGTATACCTGAAATTGATATCAATAATAATTTTTAAACATTGAATTAATCATGTTAAAGTATAATTAGGTGCTGTCCATAAATCACATATTGCAGATATGGATGGAATCATATGCAGGTAATCATTATGATGTGTTACATGAGGATGGGGGGAATATTTACAAAATTGTTACATAATGCTGGGGGTCTCAAGCCTTGAGTAATAGAACAATTTACCTTTGTTTCTGTGGTTTGCTATGCAATACATAGTAAACCACACTACTGTATTTACATCATTGCTTTGTATATTATACAAGTAATTAGTAAAATAATATAATGTTTGGTATGTCATGCTGTGTATTATTAATGAGGATACGTGTCATGTAATTCTGGAAGTGGGTATGTGCTACAACATTACCGAGCATTATAGGAGAAGGTATGGTGGTTAGCAAGTATAAAAATAACATTATACAATTTATGGACAATCCCTTATCTCAAAAATTTGTTTATACATTTGATTAAAACTAAAAATATTAATTTTTTAAAAACATCAGTATAGCATTTTTCAAAACATCCTTTACAAATATTTTTTAAAACAATTTATTTGTCATTAATTATACAGTTAACATAGTTGTTATTGAGAATACAAATTAAAACTGTATATCTTCCTCTCAAAAAAAATTGAATGGCTAATTGTTTTGATCATACTCTTTCCTTGGTCTTTTATAAAATTTTGTTCAATTTTTCAATTTGAATTGAAGTTTCTCAATGAGAGAAAAAGTTTGTTTGTTTATATGACATTTAACAATCATAGTCATTTTAGTATTCCTAAGTCCAAAAGATCATATTTTGCCTTGTTTAGAAACATCCAACAATTGCTTAAATAATCGGGCTACAATTCCACCAATTTAAATAATTAATACAAAGTAATTTGCTACTAAAGAAAGACATTAGGCACCATTTGCTTTTTTTATTTAAGACTTCAAAGTACTTAATTTTTTGGATTTATTTATTTTGAGTAATATCAATAAATCTGTGGACATTTCAGTTAGTTTATTACAGTAGAGAAACTAAAAAGTTAACAGATGAATTGAAAAAATATTTCAATAACCCAGTCAAGAATATTCAAAATCTTTGAACATTCCTAGTCATTTTCAGGAACTTTTGAATATTCCTACTTATTTACAGGATTTAAAAATACTGTAATTAAGCATAGTAAGTATGAAATAAAATATTTAACAAAATTATAATTTTATTTTTCTAACCTTTAACCAATTTTGTTGGAATGTTTACTTTTAAATTGTAACAATTTATTAATACAGTTTTTCCATCGTAATGAATTATAAAACATTATTTTGGATAACAATTATAAAGTTTTGGATAACTCACAGGAAGAAATTAATATATTGCTAAGATAATTATATTTATTTCAAAATTACATGTTGGAAAAACTGATCCTATCTTTATCATATTTATACTTTATTATAAGTAATAGCTATCATTCATTACTTACAAGTAATTATCCAATATCTTATATTATCAAATAATATGTAATTTGTTTAAACTCATTTGTATCAAGTTTAAAATTCTAAATAATTAAATATGTACAAAAAATTAATAAAAATGTATAATTAAGTAAAGTAATTTATTCTTGAATAGATATCAAATTTTATGAATATAAAGATACATGGCAAGGTACAATGAGTAAAATAAGTCACTCCCCACATTAACAATGAAAAAAAAAACAACTAAAATCTATAAAAACAACAATAAAAATGAATAACATGAGTTTATGTTTAAAAAAGAAAGATGACATGTAAACTAAATAGCATATAAAGATTTTTTATAGTGTTGTTTTGTATTTTACACTGAAAATTTAAAGATTTTCAACATTTTTAATTGAATTTATAAATCTATAAAAGAAAGTCTATTGTGATAAATCAAGTCTAAATTGGAGTATATAAAAGCAAGTTATTACAAGCAATGAAATTAAATACATATTAAGTAAAATGTGTAGAGGGAAGTAATCCATTATAAAAAATTTATATATTAAAATTAGATATAAAACAGAAGCCAAATTCAGAATTTCCTTTCTCTTGTTTTAGATTTTTTTACATATAATTTTAAAATGTTATTAATTTAATAAATACTGTACTGTAAATCTACTTAAATTGGACAATGGTACGTAATGATTCACATAACTAGCATATCAATTCACACTTCTATTCAATTGAAAAGTCAATGATTTGAGAGAAAGGAAGTTTTGTGCTTTATTGTAATGTTTCATTTGGCTTCCTTCCAACTTCAAAGACTTACAGTAATAACGTTAGTCATTCTCCATTTACGAATGTTTTAAATAATGTCAATTAATCATATAAAGCCTACTATTATATTTAGAACTATATATTACATCCACAGTTCTAAATTGTGTATAATTGACAAGCCACAACTGTTTTAAATATTGCTATGGCAATATTTAACAGTTGTGGCAGCTATTAATATCAGATTCTATCAATAATCGGAACTAAAAATATTTAACAGTATATAAATATCTTCAAGAATTATTATTATATTTGAAAAGCTTTTAAAACATTTTAATTAATATATATCTAGAACATTATAATAATTTAATATTGTATGTTAAACAGGTATTATAAATTTTGTTATTTAATAATAAATATTACTTCAATATAAAATCAAGTTCTAATTTTTGAACAGTCTTTAAAATAATAAACAAGACATCAAATCAAAATCAAAATTTACAATTAATAATAAAATAAAACATGAAGCTAATAAATTTTAAATGTGTATCCATCTTTTATATAAGAAATTACAATTACCTTTTCATGCCAAGCTAATAAATGTCCACTGCTTCCTTCGCTTGGATTTTCGAAACCACGATAAATATATTTCATCAGAACGTCGAGAAGGTCACGATCCATCGAAGTGACGACTTTTTCTATTTCGCTGGCTTTTATCGTAAACAGTATTTTCTGTACTAAATTGAATGCAGAATCCTAAAATGCAAATAGTAATTTCAATAAAAATGATATAACTATTCACAGTGAAAGCAGACTGATGTGATCATGGTCCTTCTAAGTTGTACAAGTGTGATGCAAATTTTAAAAACTAAGCATCAAAAAATAAATTGTGCACTAATATGATAGCAGTCATTAACATTTTTGTAAACATACATCATAAAAATTAGTTCTATTTTTATCAGTATTCCTTCAAAGTTATGAAGCCATTCCTTGCCCCACATCTGACAGTCTGTAAGCATAAAAGATAGGAAACCCAATTACTGCTCAAAACACAAAGTTGTGTATCTATTACCCTGGATTAGAAATCCAGGGTAATAGATACACAACTTTGTGTTCTGAGCAGTAATTGGGTTTTCGAAATAAAAATTAATTATGAGACTTCTAGTCTCATAATTAATTTTTATTTTAAATGTATAATATCCCTCTTTAATATATAAAATATTAGTTATTTTCCTTTTTTTTTTGTTTAAGTTTATCAAATATAACTTACAATTTTATCCCTGTTACCCATACAGCATAGCTTATATGACTTCTGCACAAGAAAATTCAAATCAAAGCTTTTACTCCTATAACACAAGATCAAAAAACTCTACTTTCACCATTATACATAGAACAGAATTTTTATTAGTAATTATACCTTCATAATTTGATTTTTTGATCCAATAGGTGCATTTTTCAAAAGTGATTTTAAAGCTTCAATATTTTTTCCTGTATTCACTTGTTAAGAAAGCAATAATAAACACAGCTGTTTATGTTACTCACTAACTTATTGATAAAAATTTTCATTAAGAATTTTATAACTTTTAAAACACATTCATTTCTTTATACAGTAGAGCGTCAATTTTCTGAAAGTCAATCATCCAAAACATCAATTATCCGAAAGAATTTCAGTTGGCAAATTTAAATTTTCGCCAGTGCTGTGGCACTGCAATCTTTGGCTATGTCTTGGGCTACTCAAATAATTTACGTTTTTGATACTAAATTAACTTCTGAAGTATAATTTTTTATTGTTTTTATATTTTTCAATATATTTATTTTGTTCGTACTAACGATACAATAGTCTTCATTAGGCTTAACATCGACGAAAATTCAACACAAAGCGACACGCAACGGAGAAAAATTTCAACATGGGATAAATTAATATATTTTTTCGTACGTAATCGGTTATTCGAAATATTGATTTTCTGAACAACCCCAGTCCCCGATTGATTCGGATAATTGATGCTCTACTGTATTAGAAACCCTAGATACTGTAGATCTTATTTAAAAATTACAACTGAATGTTTGTTCAACAGTATAGAATGTATAGGTAATCTTATTGTTTAAATTACTTCTGAATCAAGGCAGAAAAAAATTCAAAATGCATAAAATAAACAAAAAAGATGAAATTTCTGAATGGAAACAATGGGAAAAAGAACATACCAAGTTTTAAAAATAACATTAACCACTACAAATGGACGAGATAGTTAAAGTGTCGGCCTATTACTCTTGAAAATCCTGGATAGAATTTGAGAGAGCAACTCTCAAAAAATTTTTCATGGGTAATCTATTCTGGATATTTTGAGCAAAATCCCTCCCCAACCAGCCACCTTTATTGTAAGGCTGGACAAACACAGAGGACAGAAAGAGTTAAAATGAAAAATATCTCATTTCAAATGCCATTATACAGTATTAGAAGAAAATTTTTAAAAATAGAACAGTGAATTGCTATTAGATTGGCTTATTTACATTCAGTACCTAATTATTATAATTTTTGTTATATAATTAAAGAAAAATGTATAAACACAAAAATTTAATTTGTAATAATTTTTCATTAATTTTTAAATTAATCTCTAAACTTTTAAAATTATTGGGCTGCAATTTGAAAATATTGTAGACCTATAAATTCCCACTGTTGTCCATCCATCTTTCCTTAACCTTGAGATTAGAGTTAGATAGATGAAAGACGAGACCAGATACGGAAATCTTAGGGAAAGAAGAACCCCGATTAACTATATACAAACTTCTAATGCAAACCAAAAGTTGTTATTTCAATTCAAAAATTTTCCCCTAAAAGGTGTTAGATAGATGACCAGCATGACTCTATTGTTAAAGGAAAAGTATGATGTACAGTACAGGGGTAAGCCACTACTAATTTGAGGTGGAGAGCATATATTTTTAATTTATTTAATTAAAAATATGATTAAAAATTGCAGCCCAGCATTGTGATGATGTCACAATAAATAATTGCTCGTTATTATTAGTAAAAAATTTCTTCAATTACATAATAAATGATTCTCAAAATTACCAAAAATATGCTCAAGCCATGCTACAAGTAGTCCCTTTTTTGTTTTACTTAAAGTTATAATTAATGAAAATGTTAATCTTCAGAATGTTTCCAAAGAATTCAGTTTTAATCAGCCAAAATTTGGACATGAAAGATGAATAGAAGCATACAGTTATTCAGAACAGTTCTGAAGATAAAATTCTTACAACATTAAATCAAAAATAAAACAATAAATCTTAAATAAGACTAAGTATATTTTGAGAATTACATTAAACTGTCAAGAAGAAAAAATTAAACAAATGAATACTGGTAACATTTAAAATTCTTTCAAAAGTTATTTTTAAGATGGAATATTATGAAATTTGTTTAATCTGAACTATTAGTTAAAATTGGTTATTTTAATGCATAATAATTTATTCTAAAATATTATATATAAAAATCCACACCTTGATAGTACTAATTAAAATGCTGAGTAATTTGACACTAAGGGCAGTCATTAGATGCAATCTCCTGCTAAATTTAATAATTATAATTAAATTACTATTTTAAAAATTAATTTAGAAGGTTCTGAAAGAAAAGAATTGGCACAAAGTGGGACTCAAACTCAACTCCTGCATTCCATGCAGTCATGTTGCCAGTCACATTACTCGGACCTTTTTAATTTAGATATAATCATAATATTACTGAAAGTGTAGTTACTTATGGTTACTTCTAAATTAATAAGTTCTGGAAGCAAGGGTAGGACAAGTCTAGATAGCATAACTGGCAATGCAACTACACATCATGCAGGAGTTGCAGGCTAGATTCCCACTTTGGGCCAATTCTTTTCTTCCAGAACCTTCCAAATTAATTATTAAAATATTATTTTAATTATAATTATTAAATTTAGCAAGAGATGGTTCCTAATTCCTGTCTTTAATACCAAATTCCTTAGCATTTAATTAATAATAAGAGCAGTAGCAGTATAGCCTGATATAATTTGATAATTGTTTGGCTTCAAAAATATTACAATAAAGAGCATTCATATATATATATATATATATATATATTTGCAAATCACACATCCACATACAAATATATTATATAATGTTAGTCTGTATTCAAAATTATTAATTTAGCATAAGGAATAAAAAGCAATAGATTTATTACCATAAATATGCCATTTAAAATAAATTTTTCAATCCTAATATATTTGTCTAACTATAAACAATATACTGGAAACCATTAAATATAATGTTTCTTCTTATCCATTTAACAGAGGAAAGGGAAAGATTGTCAATGACTTCAACCTTTGCCTATGGTCAGTTCAATACTCTGTCTCCAGCACCCCGTCACCCACTTTGCTTCTTTTCAACCCCCAATAAAATAATATGTGCTAATGATATTGCAAACTAGTAATAAATAATTTAAAAGCTTCTTGCTTGTATTATTTAATTACAAAAACTACTTAGTCACTTATGACTAATGAACAGGCTTATTACACATTAATTAAACTTATCTAAAATGCATTTTGGTCTTACTGGTCCTTATCATTTGAATGACATAAAAAAAAGTGTCTATGGTGACAATTGCCAACATTACAATATACATTAATAGTACAATTATTACAAATTATTATATACACTTGATTAATAAGATTCTAAATTATCACTAGGACAGTAACATAATATTAAACAAGTCCAATAAAAACCTTGTGAATAGTCAATCCATCTTCTTTATGGTTCTGATAATTTTCTATTCTTTTGTCTCCATCACATTTGTAGGGTATGGTATGCTCATTCAGTTTCCTTTTCTTGATTTTTATTTTCATTTGTATTATTTTTAGACAAACACATTTTTCATTGCGATTATGGATGATCCTATACATGTTTTGGTCTTGATATACAGATTNCTCTTGATAAATTTAAAAATTAATTTAGAAGGTTCTGAAAGAAAAGAATTGGCACAAAGTGGGACTCAAACTCAACTCCTGCATTCCATGCAGTCATGTTGCCAGTCACATTACTCGGACCTTTTTAATTTAGATATAATCATAATATTACTGAAAGTGTAGTTACTTATGGTTACTTCTAAATTAATAAGTTCTGGAAGCAAGGGTAGGACAAGTCTAGATAGCATAACTGGCAATGCAACTACACATCATGCAGGAGTTGCAGGCTAGATTCCCACTTTGGGCCAATTCTTTTCTTCCAGAACCTTCCAAATTAATTATTAAAATATTATTTTAATTATAATTATTAAATTTAGCAAGAGATGGTTCCTAATTCCTGTCTTTAATACCAAATTCCTTAGCATTTAATTAATAATAAGAGCAGTAGCAGTATAGCCTGATATAATTTGATAATTGTTTGGCTTCAAAAATATTACAATAAAGAGCATTCATATATATATATATATATATATATATTTGCAAATCACACATCCACATACAAATATATTATATAATGTTAGTCTGTATTCAAAATTATTAATTTAGCATAAGGAATAAAAAGCAATAGATTTATTACCATAAATATGCCATTTAAAATAAATTTTTCAATCCTAATATATTTGTCTAACTATAAACAATATACTGGAAACCATTAAATATAATGTTTCTTCTTATCCATTTAACAGAGGAAAGGGAAAGATTGTCAATGACTTCAACCTTTGCCTATGGTCAGTTCAATACTCTGTCTCCAGCACCCCGTCACCCACTTTGCTTCTTTTCAACCCCCAATAAAATAATATGTGCTAATGATATTGCAAACTAGTAATAAATAATTTAAAAGCTTCTTGCTTGTATTATTTAATTACAAAAACTACTTAGTCACTTATGACTAATGAACAGGCTTATTACACATTAATTAAACTTATCTAAAATGCATTTTGGTCTTACTGGTCCTTATCATTTGAATGACATAAAAAAAAGTGTCTATGGTGACAATTGCCAACATTACAATATACATTAATAGTACAATTATTACAAATTATTATATACACTTGATTAATAAGATTCTAAATTATCACTAGGACAGTAACATAATATTAAACAAGTCCAATAAAAACCTTGTGAATAGTCAATCCATCTTCTTTATGGTTCTGATAATTTTCTATTCTTTTGTCTCCATCACATTTGTAGGGTATGGTATGCTCATTCAGTTTCCTTTTCTTGATTTTTATTTTCATTTGTATTATTTTTAGACAAACACATTTTTCATTGCGATTATGGATGATCCTATACATGTTTTGGTCTTGATATACAGATTCACAGAGTTAGTTTAATCAGCATTTCAAATACAATAATATTGTATTTGAAGTACTGTATATTCTAATACTGTTTAAATTTTATATCTAAATATTCAACATAAAAATATATCAAACAATAAAAGCTATGTATATTTATTATCATTTAGTTTCATCACCAAGTATCTAAAATACAAATGATTACAGGCATACCTCGAC